GTGGTGAGTGAACAGAATTGGTGTAAATGGATTTGGAAGTGATGCCTCCGACTTTCATTAAAACTACTCCAGTGCAAAGGCACATATATCACAGTGTAATAATTTACCTCCAAGGAGATGAGAAAACAAAAGATCTTTCCACGGAAGTCTCCCTATTGCAGTATCAACCTAAGTCACCTCCTGATTGCACAACGCTCTCTCTGCTAATCATCTTACAACATCTTTCATCCATCAAAGCACATGCCTCTTCTTCAGTGAAATCTCCTCAGAGCACAGAGTTCCTTTTGAGAAACCTCTGGTGTTAATGGGACAGGACAAAGCGATGCTTAGAAACTGAAGTGGGCATTCTAAAGCAGTTTCCATGCTGTTTCTACCAGCTGTCACATAGCTATGATACTCTGACTAAAGTGCCACAGCACTTGTCCAATGGGGACCTAAGTCAAGCTGGTACTACATAGAAGAACATCCATATATAAAGGAAATTACTGCACTCATGTATCCATCTTTGCCTCACCATTATTACTAAAACAGATGCTGCATGCTTACTCACAGCTGGAGACACTGATTCCAAGTATAGTGTACAACAGTCTTAATCTCTCACCTGTTGTGAAATAGCTAATCTCTCGTGTTCCTCTCCCTACTTAGAGCACATTATGTCCTTTGTTTTCCCCATTAGACGTTGGCATTGTGCACTGGAAAGAAAAGTCAGAATCCTATGACTCCAAGGGCATATGTGGGGCTCACACCCAGTTATTTCAGCCTCAGGCCATACTCAGTAGTATCACCACAGGTAAGGAGATTACATAGCAGAGGATTCCAAAGCAATTATCTAACACTGTGCCTGGTGTTTCCCATACCTGATGATTATATTCAGAATGTGTTTGGGAGAACTGATTTTTTTTTTGCATTTTAGGACAAGAAAGGCACTAGACATTTAACTTAGGTTAGTCATCAGAAGGTAAAAGAAACAGCACACTGGCCACCTAAGTGGAGACTTGGGGTGATGATGTGCTCACCATCCTCTGGCATCTTGATCAGTCTTATAAAAACCCAAAACTTGCCAAAACAAAGTAAAAGCAACTCAAAGGTTCACAGTTGAATGAAGAAATAAGTTGTAGTATTTCATTCAGTGAAATATGAATGGGATCAAATAGTAATGAATTATGTAAAACTACACATAATGAATAATATGACAATGGGAAATGAAAAAAGACATACACACTACATTCCTAAAATGCATGTTGTATGATTCTATTTATACAAAGTTCCAAAGTAGGTAAAAGTAACCTGAAGTGTTAGAAAGGAAGAGGGAGACTCTGGGGGATCGAAAGGATAGCGATTAAGAGGGAAGACAGTAAGATGCATAGGGTACTGTTTGTATTGCATTAGTTAGACTGTGGGGACATTGGATGTTTACTTCATGATAACTCTTTGCAGAGTGTGTGTGTGTGTGTGTGTGTGTGTGTGTGTGTGTGTGAGAGAGAGAGAGAGAGAGAGAGAGTATCTTTGAAGACTTAAATTTGGTCCTGCTTGTCCACCAGGGAATTAGGATTACAAAATCTGAGTATGCCTAGTATGCTAGATTCATTTCTAGGGTCAAGGAAACTGAGTGAAGCAATGGGAACAGAGAAGCAGGAAGTACAGGTTGGAGCCCGCACTCCACACAGATTTGCTTAGCACTAGAACTTTGGACACAATTTTCTCTCACCCAAAGGGAGAGCTGGATTCATTGCTTATCTCAAGGGTTAACTGGGCACCATATGCAGACGGAGTCTAACCAGAAAGAGGAATTGATTATAGGGAGATGTGTGTTGGGGGCTCAGATCTGTCATTTTTAACTCTAAGGAGACCACACTGCCTCTTCCCTGTGTAGGTAGTGGAATCAGCACAGGCCATGGGACCCTGGCTCTGAATTTCCATCTTGGGAGGGCTGCTTTCGTTTCTCAAAAGAGAAATCTGGCAGGCTGTAAATTTACTGGACCACTTTCTCCATGATTGGACCCTGTGGAAAAGACTTGACTTAATGGAAAAGGATAATGAAGGTCAGTGTCAGGAAGAACAGGTTTGAACAGGATTGGTGTTAAAGCAGAGCAGCCCAAGGGAGAAAGGGGTTTTCTTGGAGCTCACCAGAACAGCAAAGGGCAGGGTAGGAATTTGAATTCTGTAATGGAAAGAAGCATGAAAATGGAAAATTATTGGAGGATTCAGAAGTGAGAAAACCATGTTGGGTAATCACAGGCAAGTCAGGTATAAGAGCTGTGAGCTCTTCAGATCCAGGCTTTGCATGTTTTTAAAGTTTTTAAAAATTGTCTTTAAGTAGTTGTGCGAAGGAGTTTCCATGTAACAAAGCAGTTTATGAATTCAACACATGTTGATCGGTGTCACCTCTTTGAACATTCTCACCCATCTCCCCCTACCCACCCTCTCCCTCACTATTCTTGACTTTGTAGGATATACATTGGACTCTTGTCTGCATTTTCCCCCTCTTCATTCATCTACCCTTTTTCCCTTGACCCCATCCCTTCCCTTTCAAGAACCTGCTTCCTGGTATTTTAATTTGCTGAACTATAATTTGGGCTTTCTAAGGATTTACACCATTTGAGATCTCCCTCGGGTCTGCTGTAGTAGGTATACACCCAGAGAGCTAGTGAGAAATGAAGTCTAAGATGATCATCCGCAGGCTAGGAATACAAGGCTGACTTTTTCATAGCTGAATTCCGAATATTTAGAGCCAGTTGCTATGAGTCTTCATTGGGAGCTCCAGTCCCCAGTTAAGGTGATGAAGAACTGCCACACCTATCGTTGGTTAAGATTCTGTTTGCAGTGGAGAGTGGCTTCAGACAAACAAGACCCAAATCAAAGCCAAATGTAAGTGAGGGAAGTTAGGGTTGGGAGGGACAGATAAGAATATTCAAAAGGGTGACATTGACCAAGACATGTTGTATTCATTAATGGCTTTGCTGAGGGGCACCTTCTTTGTTCAACTAGTTAAAGATAATACCTTATATTTAAAGAATGTGGTGTGTAGCATGCTCATCTCGAGCATTTAGGAACAGGGGATTCTCAAAGAAGATGTTGAAGAACACCTTCAACCCATGGAGCAGGACCCCACTTCGAAGCCTGCATGAGAACACAAGGAGAGCACCAGGATAGAATTTTTCCTAGGCTAGAGGTACATATATAAGCTGGACCAGAGATGGACAGTATCTGAGAACCTTGTGCATGAGAGGAGCAGTAGCTAAAATGACATCTCTTAGTCTTCTCTACCCCATTCCTTCCTGAGACTCTCTGCTCACCAAAGACTCTGAGTGTTGCTTACCCGAGTCAGTTACTTCTACTTTCTGTGTCTCCCCTTACAGAAGGGGAATAAGTACCCCTTCCATCACAGACTCTCCACAAATTGAAATGATTAGAGATGCTCTTCAACAGGTTGCCCTGTCCCATGGGTATATGATTGACAGCTTACCTCCGAACCCTCTCTCTACTTGACTTTCCAAGTGTTAAGATAGGGTGGTAGCAACTACTACCTCCTTGTGGGACCCTTGAGAGGACATGTGGAAATAAGGTGCTTAGCTCAGTGCCTGGTCTGTAGCAGGTGCTCCAAAAGCAGTAAGCATTATTTTAAAGCCAGTAAGAGCCTCTGGCCGCTTGATTGAAATCAGATGGCCCTGGGGACTAGATGGAGCAGGTGGTTGAGAATGTTATGCTAAAGGGCATCTGGAAGGAATTCAGAAATGGAAAGGAAAGGTCTCTGAAGAGCAGCATACTGGCTTCTTCACAGGACCCACTAATGGGCTAGGATCCATTACTGAACCAACAAGTAGCAGTTGGTGCTTATGTGCTAAAGATGTCACTCAGATTTCTTTTTCTGGATGTCTCAGGTGGAGGAAATCTTCAACATGTTGTTCATTCTATGATATGTGTCTGGCAGATGATGAACTCTGGTGAGGAGGAGCTGGCTGAGACTGGTCTTTTAGATACTCACAAGACAACACTTGGGCATTTTAAATAGACCAGGAAAAGCATTTTGTCCCCTAGATATTCCTCTTACTCAATAATAGTAATAATAATAATATAATAATAAAAGGATATTAAAGCCATGTGTTTCTGAGAATTTACCCTTAGCCTGTCAAATCTATTGTTTTCTGAGCGTCTGAAGTCTAACAAGACTAATGAGCTTTTTTTCTTTGTCAAATGGCTTTAAAAATCTTTTTTCTTAGAAGGACTGTGAGAGGCTTTGAAAGTTGTTCCAAGGGTAAAAATAATACTAATAATAAATTGTTTAACACTCTCAACTCCTGCAGGTTCAAATTTTACTTAATACTCTGAGCCCAAGGGATTTGAATTATTGCTGGAGTTTATTGTCAGTTTTTATGAGGCTTTTACAAAGAGTGAGGTAGGGTCAGGGGGAGAAAACCACAAGGAGGTTCTCTAGAGTTCATCTCGGGGCTGGCTCCACAGCCATGCCCAGAGTCCAACAGACTTCCAGAGCCTTCTCAGCCTGCACTTTCAGAGGGAGCCTCCATAACTTGGCATTGTCTAAGAAAGTTGTACTGAAGTTGTAGTGAAGATTCTCACTTTTCAGCCTGGATTGTTTTTGCCTGGTGGATCAAAGCCAAAGTCCTTCCTCCAAGAGTGGTTCTCTTGTGGGTCATACAATGTATGTCACATGAAGTGGGCCATGTATTATTAAACGACTACCGACTGGGTGAAAAGGAGAACAATTTTTGTTGTCCACAAGAACCAACTACCAGGGCTTCCATCAACTCACTACGTTGTCATCTAATGACCCCTGGTGGTGGAATTTTTCCCAGCAAGCGTGAATCGATGCTTCTGAGCCAAGCTCTCCTATGTTACATTTTCCTACATTCCCTTCCTCCTGTTTTGTCATTCACATTAAGCAAGGAGCAAGAATGAGTTACAAACAGCCAGAATAAAGTACGGCAAGTAGCCAACCCAGCTGTGATTTCACAAAGGTTCCCTGGTGCCTCCTTTTTCAGGACATCTCTGATACATTACCTGTGGCAAGACAAGGGAGACAACATGAAGGAAAATGTGGCATCCACAATTGCTTGCATTCTGCTACTTTTTCTCCACATCAGTCTTCTGAATGGTAAGTAAAAGATTGTCCTTTTCCATATCTTTGCCTGGATTGCTCATCCACAGGATAGAGAGGCCATTGTGGTCTTTCAATGTTGTTATGAGAAATGAAAGTATTTCTGTCATGGGCTGCTTACTAAATTATTTGCAACCTTTCTTTTCATAAAATTTAGACAAAATCTTGTCACTATGCTCTCTGCCCTGTATACTTAGTTCAGGAGAGGAATGAAGCAGCTCTGATGATAAGAGGGCCTGAATTCCAGTCCGGGTTCTGCCCGTTATTAGCTGTGTGACCTTGAGTCACTTGCCTAATGTGTCTGGGCTTCCAAATTTCCAAAGTGAGAAAAATGATGTTTCTTCCACTTCAGATGATATAGTGCATGTGATTAAGTCTTTGAAAAGTCATAAAGGCATGTAAGCGATTGCTAATAGAAGAGATGAAGCTAAGGTAGAAGGTGTGTACCTGTTGTGTACAGTTCCATGTACTCTACATTCCTGTGTGTGCATACTTTGATATGTATGTATGTACATTAACTTTTCATAGTGCCTGATCATCAATATTTTCATGTGGATATTATGCCTTTGTGTATCTCTATATACTTAGTCTGTTGTATAATTTCTCTGAATATATGCATTTTGCCAATGTGTTCTGCCACAAATATACCCCAGGTTTATTTCTCTGTGCATGTAGTGTGTGTGTGTGTGTGTGTGTGTGTGTGTGTGTGTGTGTGTGTGTACTTCTGGCCTGACATCTATAAGGCCATTTGTCTACATACGTATAAACACACACACACACACACACACACACACACACATACACACACATATATTAGTGTGGCACCTCTGTGGTTGTCTGTGTGCTTGTTCATTGAGTCAGTCCTTTAAGTTTAACTGCCTCCTCTAAAGTATATCAAGAGAAGTTTGATTAATTGTACTTTCCCAACTATACCTTTCTGTTGCAAGTTTTCAGAATATGCTATTAACAATCGTTAAAATGTAAAAAGAAAAAATTCCCCAAGAGAGACAAAAAGGAAAGCAGAGATCAGAATGATCCACAGGGAAAACTCTAAGAACTCAAATCATCAACAGTATTGCTGATTGATTTCAAGTGTGTTCCACATTCAACAATAAACTTTGGGGTTTTTTTAAATAAGCTTCTCTCTCTTTCCCATATGCACACCTCCCACCAAAGACAGAAAGAAGTGAATAAAAGAACACTTGTATTTTTGCCATGATTCCCACTAACATGTTCCTGAGGAAATCCTCCCCAGAGGGTGGTCAATGTTACAGCATTGGCAGAGCTACACCAGGCTAAGAGGAACCATTTCAGCAGGATCTATGACCAGAGCACATTGGCTATAAACTGGCTTATGACTGGCTCCACTGACATGATCATCCTGTTTCCAGGTCTCCATCCTGCATTCTGTACCATGCAATCCATTAAACTCTGCCTAGCCAGGTTATCTATAGGCCTCAATTCCTATCCACATTCCCTTACACACCTGCTTTTTCTGATCTTGGCTCAGTCAGAAATTCTGGGGAGCATGGAACAAATTTGGAGAAAACAAGGAGAAGCCCCTGAGCTACTGAAGCCAACATCTGAGAGCTCTTCCCTGTGCTCCTGACTCCCCAAGGCAACAAGCAGAAGTAACTGGAGTTACAGATCTTTTTATGGTTGGTCCAGCAGTGTCAGGGCAAAAATCACAGGGTTTCCTTCTCCCTCTTTAAATCTAATATCCAAGCAACAAAATGGGAACCCAAGCTGGGCGCCAGTGGCTCACACCTGTAATCCTAGCTACTCAGGAGGCTGAGATCAGAGGATCATTGTTCAAAGCCAGCCTGGGCAGGAAAGACGGTAAGACTCTTATCTCCAATAAACCACTAGAAAACTGGAAGTGGCGCTGTGGTTCAAGCAGTAGAGCACTCGCCTTGAGCTGAAGAGCTGAGGGACAGCGCCCAAGCCCAGAGTTCAAGCCCCACGACCAATAAATAAAGGGGGGGAGAACCCACTTACCAGAACTTCTGAGATTATAGGCAATGAACAATTCTATCCCCATGACATATGTTATGTTCTCCAAATCATCTTCTAGAGACTTGCCAGTTTCCAGCCTGAGACCAGGTATGGTGCTTTGATACAATGGTAGCTCCCAACTCAGAGTAGAACTTCCTACTAGGCTATCACAGACTATGCCTCACACCCCAAAAAGCTCCATCGAATTAAAAGGAGGCCTTTTGCTACTCACATAAGAAAACCCAAAATAAGGAAGAGAACATCAAAGTGGAAAGAGACTAATAATCAAGATTCATCAATGACCGTAGGAATTGTGGGGAGACAGACTAAGCCATTATGTCAAAGTTGAATGGCAGTACATCAGGCCCAGAAAGGCAAAGGGGGCATGCTTCCTCTCATATGTGGAAGCTAGATCTAGTTTATGAACAAACAAGTAAGCACAGCACACCAAAGAAAGATGCATGCAATCAAATGGAAAGGGAAGGGGATAGTGAGGGTGCAACAGTAGGGAGAAGAAGGGAGGGACTGGGAGAAGAGGAAGGGGAAAGAGACACAGGAGGAAACAGACGACAGGAGCAGCGTTGATACAGATCCAGACAGAGACACAGGCAATCGTGTGGGGATGGCAGAAAACTAGGAAAGTGTGAGCAGAGAAGAAACATTCCTGAGTTCAATGTATGGGTAAAAGTGTGTGCAGGTTCTTTGCACGGTCATTCCTATGCTGTGGATAGGCAGCTTTATCAACTGAAGCTTGAATTTGCATTGGTCTTGCTCCCCACAGGTTCACTACACATTACAGTTTACCGTTACTGGTCTTTACACCTAAGCTACTGTTATTTCCATCTCTAAATAGAAACTCAACACCACCACCACAAACACCAGGCTTCCTCTAGTGCCTTGCCACCATCAAGATAATCAGGGAATTGTTTCTGGATACTAATACTTTGGCTATTTTTCCCCTTTCCTTTCTCATTTTTAGTAGTATGTATTAATTGTCAAGCAGAGTTTTGTTGTGATGGTCCCATGTATATTACCCTTTCTTATCATCTCCTGTCCCATTTTTAAACAACTTCTAATGGGTTTCATTATTCTGTTTTCACCAGGAGTAAAGTACTTTGATCATATCCTACCCACCCTCTTTTGCTTTGGCAATGTGAGTACTGGACCCCGGGCTTCCTCGCCTTGAGGTCCTGTCTCTAGCCTGAGTGCCAGAAATCTGCTTCTGGTACCAGGAGACTAGGGATCTTAATATTGACTCCTACAGCTTGTGGCTTCTTTTAGGAGAGTCGCCTCCTGGAAAGCCTGAGATCGTTAATTGTCTTTCCCCTGAGAAGGAAACCTTCACTTGCTGGTGGAAGCTCGGGACAGATGGAGGACTTCCTACCAATTACACGGTGTATTACAAGAAGGAAAGGTAAAAAGCTCTCAACGCCCTTCGACCCCACCAGTGCATGCTCACATTCTCCAAACCAAAGCAATATTGGGTTTGAGTTCAAATTACCATACTTTCTTTATATATTTTTATTGTTGCTATTCTTCATTTTAATTTTATTCAATAGTAAGAATAACTGTGACATATTTATTTATATGTTCTGAAGTTGTCCATTTCTGCAAAGATAGTCTACACTTCGTAGCTATCCTTCCCTCTATAAGCAAGAGCAGGATTTAAGAATTAGAATACTTTTTGGGGGGAGGTCCGGTCGTGGGGCCTGAACTCTGGGCTTGGGTGCTGTCCCTCAGCTCTTCAGCTCAAACCTGGCGCTCTACCACTTGAGCCACAGCACCACTTCTGGCTTTTTTCTTTTTGCTTATGTGGTGCTGAGGAATAGAACCCAGGGCCTCATGCATGCAAGGCAAGCACTTTACCACTGAGCCGTCTTCCCAGCCCCTAGAATTAGAATACATTTTTATACAAGAATAAATTCAGCTATTTCCCCTCCTGATTTGTGATTCTTAATTGTATTCTTTCAACAAATGTATACATTTTTTGTGTGTGCTGATCCTGGGGCTTAAACTCAGGGACTAGGTATTGTCCTTGAGCTTTTTTGCTCCAGGCTGGTGCTCTAACTACTTAAACCACAGTTCTACTTCTGGCTTTTTTGGTGGTTATTTGGAGATAAGAGTCTCATGAACTTTCCTGATAACTGGCTTCAAACCATAGTCCTCAGTTCTCAGCCTCCTAAGTAGCTAGAATTATAGGCATGAGTCAACAACACCTGGCCCAACAAATGTATAATCTTTGAAAGTACAAAATTTCTTTACAAATAAATCCAGGCTGACTTGATATAATCCAAAAGAGCTTATTCAGTACATATTAAATGAATAAAATTATAAATTTAAGCAACATGACTACCTCTCTCAAAATCTCTCTTCAGAATTTATGTATTTACTTACTCATGGCAATGTAGGTTGTTTTGGGGTCCAGTTGTGGGGCCTAAACTCTGGGCCTGGGCACTGTCCCTCAGCTCTTCAGCTCAAGGCTAGTGCTCTACCACTTGAGCCACAGCACCACTTCCGGCTTTTTTCTTTTTGCTTATGTGGTGCTGAGGAATCCAACCCAGGGCTTCATGCATGCAAGGCAAGTGCTCTACCACTGAGCCACTTTCCCAGCCCCTGGCAATGTAGGTTTTTAAGTAGGATACATTAGTTACAAAAGGAAGAGGAGATTTCATACTCTTTCCTGAATTTGCTCCAAGAAGGCTCATGTCACTGGAAAAATAAGATAATATCTCTTGTCCTCTTCAAGTCCTTTGTATACTCTTTCAATCTTTCTTTTTCTTTTTTTTTTTTTGGATCTGGTCTTGGAGCCTGAACTCTGGGCCTGGGCACTGTCCCTCAGCTCTTCAGCTCAAGGCTAGCACTCTACCACTTGAGCCACAGTGCCACTTCTGGCTTTTTTCTTTTTGCTTATGTGGTGCTGAGGAATCAAACCCAGGGCCTCGAGCATGCAAGGCAAGTGCTCTACCACTGAGCTACCTTCCCAGCCCCTCTTTCAATCTTTCTAAGTATTCCAACTTATGACAATACAAAATTAGCAATGTTTCAAGTTACTTGTCATGAGTTTAAATTGTGACCTAAAGCCCCATATTCTGTATTAATAAATCCTTTGTGATTTATATTTTTTCTTAGTAACACTATTTTAAGAGAAATATATAAGCTAGCCCCATGTAATCCATGGTATATATACCATGAAAAACATGGTACATCAGGTTTTCAAATTTGTCTCCTGCCCAAGGAAATTCTTTTGCGAGGTGATGATCCAGAACTCAAGATCTTAGCTGGGCATAGTGGTTCGCACCTGTAATTCCAGCCTTTGGAAGGTTGAAGCAGGATCATGAGTTCGAGGTCAACCTAGGCTACATGCCCAAGAAAAACAAAAATCAGAAGTCAGGTCCACCTTGAGGACATTTTTGGATGAACTATTGCCATGAAGACTAAATTATATAATCTCTGACTAAGAATTTTGTTGCACTCATGATGAGACCCTATTGGACATTCTTGAAAAGCTGTATTGTGGTCCTAAAACAAAGTATTTATCACTTGTAGGAACATCTTTCCCACTTCAGGGACAAAATTTGCTTGTATACAAAATTGCTCTCCGGTCTGATACTAAAAGAGGTGTCATGCAGATTTCAAGAGCTTAAACTGGCAACCTATATGACATATTCATATGGTGTGTCTGGAGCTGAGGCTCCAAAGCCAAAATATGAGGCACCTCGTAAGCCTCTAGGGACTGAAATACCTCCTTTCAAGTATCTGGTTGACTCGGAGTATACTGGCATCAGGGTGTGACCTTCTGAGTCCTTTTGTTTGTTCAAATGAAACTCCACATACATGTGCAATAAGTGCTGCATTGTCAGTGGTGCCACTGTCTATAGGTGCAGGTGAAGATCCCAACCTCTAGATGTGAAGTAATGCCCTCCATGAGGTGAGTTCTTAGCCAGGAGCAGCTCAAGAGTTCATATCACAAAGCCCACAGGAACAGCTACACAAGGGATGGAATGGTTAGAAGCAAAGTCTTGAGGAACTATATATATATATATATATATATATATACATATATATACACCCTCCACCCCTTTCTCCAGCACCCTTCTTCCCCTCACTCCCAGCTACCATGGGAAAGCACAGAATCTGGGGAGCTATTTTTTGTTCAGATTTTACACACTCAAAATACCTGCCTCCCAAAGTCTAATGGTATTAATATATATTTTGTTATGGTTATTTTATTTTTTATTGTGAAAATACTCTACAGAGGGGTTACAATTACATGGGCAAGATAATGAGTACATTTCTTATCAAGCATTGTAGGCTCCTCCTTTGTTTCCCCTTCCCATCCCTTCCCATCCTCCCCCCACCCCCCACCCAATCCTCACTGCCCCCCCCACACCAAAGTTGTAATTTTTAAAAGTCACTCTTATTCTTGTTTTCTTATTGATTCCTAATACGTAATTCATTGCAGAGAAAATATCACCTATGAATGTCCAGATTACACAACTGGTGGCCCCAACTCCTGTTACTTTAGCAAGAAGCATACCTCCCTGTGGAAAACATACACTGTCTGGATGACTGCCACTAACCGCTTGGGAAGCAGTGCCTCAAACCCATATACAGTGGAGGTCATATACATAGGTAAGCAATTGAAGCATCGGGGAGGAATTTATTATTCCACTATCTATCTACCAATAGCCAAGCTTCATTTGAACATTCTTGGTTTATGGGTGGTTTCTAGAAGGAAAGATGAGGAAATTCACAATCGTTTTCAACTGAGCATTTTGAAGTAATTGTTGTCCAATTGTTATTGGAAGCGTGATTGGCATTTGGGAATTTTGTATCACCATGCTTTTCCTTGGATCCCACGCTTTGCACCCAGCAGGATAGTCTATATTTGCTTCCCTTGTCAATCATTCTCTCTGCCCTGCTTCTACAACAGATGTTTCCTTCTTTTTGAAATTCCTTTATTTTTTGCCTTTTGGAAGATAGAGCTACTCCATGAAGAAGCAGGTTTTAGAAAAGGTTCATCTGTGTCAATGAGAATTGATTGCATGAGTATTGCTTCAATTGCTTTACCCCATGGTAATCCTGACATATTAAATTACAAATGAAGAATTGGAGAATAAGGAATGCAACTTACATACGAAGAGCAAAGGCCAAGATCACTAGTGTAATGTCTTGATAAGTCATCAACAAAGTAGAACTAAGTCAACATGGAAGATGTGCCTTGCTTTAATCAAGCACAATCACAAGAGCTGTTATGGTTTAGCAAGGGTGACCAAAGGAATCCTGAGACAAAGGATTGAGTGAGGTGGTCTAGGTGCTTTCCTTATCTTGAATAATAATTTATGAAGTTGCTAATTACATTCAGGGTTATGTTCAAATCTTCCTCATTCATCTAACATCAACAGGGAAAATTGGGCTTGAGGCCCTTCCATTTTTCACTAGCATATCATCCCTTTTAACATGTTGAGCCTTCCAAACTACAAAAGGGTAAAAAGTTGATCCTTAAAAACTAGGAAAAGCTTCTGATACCAGTGAGCACATTTGAATGTTTTCTCCTTGCCATAATTTGGGAATATGCCTGAAGGTGGGGAAAATAAGGAAGGCAATCCTATTAACAAGCAGAAATAAAATAAATACTGATCCACATCAATTCATTTAAGACATGGAGTCTAGGAGGACAGGGGTGGGGGGAGGGAGATGGGAAGGGATGGGAAGGGGAAACAAAGGAGGAGGCTACAATGCTTGATAAGAAATGTACTCATTATCTTGCCCATGTAATTGTAACCCCTCTGTACAGTATTTTCACAATAAAAAAGACATGGAGTCTATAAGATACTAAGGGACAGTTCCATTTTGTGGGTTCTCTCTTGAATTCCAATGCCCTGCCCACAAGTTTTTTAAAGAGTCAGAAGCTAAACAATGGAAACAAGAGAAGTTCTAAAATGAGCAACTGTTGCAACACGTTACCCACAAAACAACAGGCTCAGCCTAACCCCAACCCTAAGTAATATGTTTTGAAAATGACACTGAGAAGCATCTATTGGATTTGCATGGATTCTGGGAAACATATTATCTGATGTGCCAGTCCATATTTTGTCAGAATAATAAAAGAAATATTCATGGAACTCTCACATAACCCCTGAAGCATGTGGCCCTGGTGACAGGTTAGAAAAGTTCTCAGATAGAACAGTTTTCATCACAGTACATTTTCTGACAGCTTGACACTCATCCAGGGACAACCATACTGCAAGTTCTAACTGTCCAACACTCGCAGGTAATTGCACAGAAGTAGATTTCTTTCTGGTTGCTATTGCTATGTTGAAAGCTCTTAAAAGTAATAATCTCAGCTAGGGGCTATTTTGCCTCCCACAGGATTTGTGACAGTGCTTGGAGATAGTTTAGAATGTCAGAATTTAAGGGTGATCTGATTATTAAGGGGCTAGCAATGCTGAACACGGCAGCAAGTATCATACAGTTGCCCACAACAAAGCATTACCCTGTCCAAAATGTCAGCACTGTGGAGGTTGAGGAACTTTGCCTAAGTGGACATCTTCCTTAAACTTGTATAAAACTATGTTTTGATTAGAGGCATGATTCAGTCTGTGTCTAACATAAAGTTTGTATTAATTAACTAATACCTGAAACACATGAATGTTAGAATTCATGGGATTTTTTAAATTTTTTGTTGAAAAGATACTGTACAGAGGGTTACAGTGACATGAGTAAGGTAATGAGTACATTTCCTATGGAGCATTGTTACCCCTCCTTTGGTTTTCTCCTACTATCCCTTCCTTCCCCACCTCCCCATACCTCCTCCTCCAGCTGTAAAGTTGGTTTTCAACATAGTGTCTTGTATGTCTCATTGTTACAATGGGTCAACCCATATCATTGTTTCAGCATTTTGTTATTTCCCTTCCCCTCCCCAAATTAGAAAAATGTATATACAAGACAGGGCACCAGAATCAAATACAGTAACAATAGGGCTCTTTTTTGAGGCAAACAGAAGACATAATTCAAAGTATGCTTTTGTCACAGCCATTCCTTGCCCACCTGATTTAAAGACTACACTGTGGGGGGGTAATACAGGATAGGTCAAGGTAAGCCATTATCCTTGGCACTTCACTCTTAGAGAGGTGTTCTCATAGCCTGTACTTACCAGAATTTGAGAATAAGTGCTTTCCTCAGCTTGGGGATTTGTTTTATGTGCATGGATGAAAGCAGAAAGATAAAACACTATTGAAATGGTTTTAAGAAGGGAGAGGGGAAATGAAGGAGAGTGACGGAGAGGATGAGTTTGGTCAGGACACATTGTATGGATGGATAGAAATGTCGCAACAAAACTACTAGAGACTAATAAAAAAAAAAGCTTTTAAAACTACACCTAACAAGACTTAATATTTTAACTATTTTAATTGTGCAATTCAGTTGCATTAGTTCATTCATAGTATTTTGCATCCATTAGCTGGTTCTCCCGGCTGAGAGAAATAAGTGATTTAAAATCACATTCCTGGATCCTATCGCTCTAAATGGAGCCTGTAGAGTTTACATACATGGGAGCATACAATTTATGACTATGCTAAATTTGTTTATCTTTTCATCATTTGGTGAACATTTGCATCTTTCCACTTTGGGATTCATATAAATAGTGTTGCTATATTCACTCATATACAAGTTTTTCTTTGAATACCTACCATCACTCCTTTATAAAGATTTTTATTAGCATGTATTAGTTGTAACGTTTCTTTTTCTTTTTTTTTTTTTGTCGGTCATGGGGCTTGAACTCTGGGTCTGAGCGCTGTCCCTGCACTCTTCAGCTCAAGACGAGCGCTCTACCACTTGAGCCACAGCACCACTTCTGGTTTTCTAGTGGCTTATTAGAGAAAAGAGTCTCACAGACTTTCCTAGCCGGGCTGGCTTTGAACCATGATCCTCAGATCTCAGCCTCCTGAGTAGCTAGGATTACAGGCATGAGCCACTGGCACCCAGCTATATTGTAACATTTCTATACATGCAGATGACATACCCAAAATCATCCCCTCCATCTCTTTCTCATCTCTTCTTTAAGCAATCTCTTTTTTCCCTTTTAAAGCAATTTGAAAAGGTTTCATTGTTCTTTGTTTATAAACTATTTTATGTAAAATACTTTGACCATATCCACATTCATTTCTGATTCTTTTAAGTATACCTGTAGGAGTAGAGTTGAACAAAATGGCACATCTATGTTTGACTGAGGAATATTCAGTTTCCATGTCCTCCATATCATAAACAACACACATTCTGTTTGAGTGCTGGAGTCCTAACCTTTCTTATGGGTGTTTATTGTTATCACATGGTAGTTTGAGGTCATTTTGCCTCTTCTATGCCTGTTTTTTCTTCTGCAGAATGTGTTTTATAATAGCACTTATCAAGTTGTTAGTCACACTTTCTTGTAGTTGGAAACAAATAGCTCAGAGCAATAACTTAAAGAAGAAAAGATATATTCTGCCTCGCAGATTTAGTTGTTTCAGTCCACATGGCAGGGAGGATATGGCAGAACAGCTCACATGATGTCAGCCAGGTAATGAGAGAGAGGGAGAGAGAGAGAGAGAGAGAGAGAGAGAGAGAGAATGCCTTGGCTACTGAAGGCATTCTCCTCCATTCTGTCTGGACCCCAAGCCTGAGGCATGCTGCTGTCCACATTCAGGGTGAGTTGTACCCTCTTAATTAATCCTGTCTATCTGATAATGCCATCACAGACACACCTAAAAGTGCTCTTTACTAATGCCCTAGCTTCTGCTGATCCAAAGGAGACTGACAATCGACATTACATTTCACAAGTCCTTCATTTGTTAACTTGACACCTAAACACAAATTATCTAAATTATAACATTCTGTCCCTGGACCCCCAAAGGGCTGTGTCTGTTTTATGATATACACCCGAGAATCTTCATCATCTTGAATTGTCCAAAAGTCTAAGTACAACATCTTTTCTGATACTCCAAGCAAACTCTTAGATATGACTCTCTGCAACATCAAATATAAAGTTGTGTACTTCCAAGATAGAATGGCAAAAAGTAAACATTCCCATTCCAGGGGAGAAATAGAATAGATGGAAGGTTTTAATCAAAGCAAGATCAAAACTCATCAGAGAAATCACTAAATCCTAAATCCTATGGTTCCATATCTGCCATCCAGATCCCAAGTGGCATGATATGACCTTCAACAGGCCTGGATAGCCCTGCCCCTACTACCTTGACAATTATAGGCCAAAAGAAGCCTGTCCTTTAGCATGATCCCACTTATCACCTGTGCTTTTACTTGGCAGATGTTCCACAATCCTGGCATCTCCAGCAGCCAGGGTCTTCATTTCAGTGTAGGATTCACCTTTGCTGCTACACGTATTATCCTCTCAGGGCTGTCTGTAAAGACTTGGAACCCACCGCAACATTGCCTCTGACAAGACATTCCTCTGACACCTGGATGGAAGTCTTCATAACCCCATAAGTCCCACATATGGCGGTGACATTAACCTCTGCATACCTGGGCAGCTAAGTGGGTGGAACAAACTCTATTTTAATTGTGTAACTTAGTGGCATTAGTTTATTCATAATATTCTCCCAGCTGAGAGAAATAAGCTGTTGCCTCATTGCTTTGTGAGCAGGACACCCCTCCCCAGAGACATTTTCCAATGAATTTATTCATTCCTACATGTGAGCCTGTAATGGGCAGGCTCTGGTTAATTCCTGAGCTGCCCTTAAGGCATCTTTATTACTGTCCTCATAGGGACATGGGAACATGAGCAAAATCAGAATGAGCAACTGTCTGTTCTGAGGTTGCTAAAGGGGTCATTACCAAACACGTCAGCTGGTAGACACATGTCCCAATTTACTATCTGAGTGAATGGATTCTGTTCATATATTGTGAACTGTTATTGAACCAAAGGCAAGATTTATATACTTGTTACCTACAATATCATAAACACACATTAATGGATCATAAAAAGCATGTGTGTCCTAAAGCTACCAGCACAACTATGTTTATTGCAGCATTATTTACCATAGCTAAGATATGGAACCAACCCAGATGCCCCTCAGTAGATGAATGGATCAAGAAAATGTGGTATATATACACAATGGAATTCTATGCCTCCATCAGAAAGAATGACATTTCCCCATTTGTTAGGAAATGGAAAGGCTTGGAAAAAATTATATTAAGTGAAGTAAGCCAGGCCCAAAGAAACATAGGTCCCATGGTTTCCCTTATTTGCAATATCTAGTATAGGTATGAGTCAAGCGGAAAAGGTCAGATAATGTGATGTCAGGAAAATGAACCCTTAGATGTGTATTTTAATGTTTTTTTCTTTCATGCATGTGTTTCTAACACATTTATAAGATTATCTCTTTGTTGCTTTGTATGTCCCTCCCCCACAGTATAACCCCTGCTTTCACTATATTTGATGTCAGTATAACTTGTGGAGGAGATGGGGAAAAACCAGTTGTTTAAGGATACAGGTGGACCTGTTGCAACAATGAGAAGTACAAGTTGTCATGCCCAAAACGAGCTTTACAACGTTGGTGCGGGGGGGGGGGGGGGGGGGGGGGGGGAAGGAGAAGGATTGGGATTAGGGGGGGAGGGGGGAGGCTGGGAAGGGATGTGAAGGGTAAACAAAGGAGGAGGCTGCAATGCTTGGTAAGAAATGTACGCATTATCCTGCCCATGTAACTGTAACTCCTCTGTACAGTATGTTCACAAATAAAATTAAATTAAATTTAAAAAAAAAAAAAAAAAAAAAGCATGTGTGTCAACAAGTAGCCTCTTGCTCCTGGCTAAGGGAAGGAAGCTATTTCAAATACATTTCCCCAGTAATTTTCCATCCCAAATCCTACTTGGAAATCATAGTCTAGTTAGTATCACCTGGTCCTCCACCATCATGCAAATACGTTTGTATACATGAGACTTTGCCTGGTGCTACGTGGAGAATGCATTAAGAATGAAACCTCAGCTGCTTATCTTGCTTATCATCTAAACCCCATATTCAGCACAGATCCAGTTGATCTCATACTAAGATAGATCTTGTCTTCTGAGGATTTAAAATGCAGTGGGATGAGTGGACATAAGCAACATAGACCATGATTGAAAGCAGTAAGACTAATTTTTAAAAGCAAGCAACTAACATAAATGAATGGAAATTTTCTTTATGTCCACAGTTGTACCACATCCTCCTATGAATGTGACTTTGGAAGTAAAGCATCCAAAATACAGAAAACCATACCTGTGGATAGAATGGCAACCACCCATCATTGTTGATGTAAGATCTGGTTGGCTAACACTACAGTATGAAATTCGATTAAAACCCGAAAAAGCAGCTGAGTGGGAGGTGAGTCAGACAGAAGCTTGTTGAAGCAACCATGTCTCCTATAGCAAGAGTGAACCCCTCACAACCAAGAACAGTTCATTTCTCCAATGGCTTGGCCACTGTGCTAACATCCCCAAGCAAATGTAGGCTATCAGATAGGAAATTCCTCCATCAATTCCTCCTTCTTTTGGAATTGAAGGAGGCCCAGTTTCACAGCTCTCCTGAACATAACTCCCTGCACTGAACAGGACAGTCTTCTGCCGTGTTTCTAAGCCCTCTTCTTCTTTGATATATCTTCAATGTAGACACTTTTAAAAGTACTTAATAATGCTAGGACAGGAGGTGAAGGAATCCCAGTGTCCATGAATAATGTCTGTGTTTCTGAAGAAATAATTTTAAACACTTCAATATGAAGAAACAAAACAAGAAATCAATCATGATAGTTTACCCTTAAATAATTTAGTAGGCATCCCTTTTTTTTGTATAGCCAAAATAATAGGATCAGACAGAGGAAATGAATCAAAATTCTTTAGCACCATTCAGTAGATAATCTGCATTGTAATCTTTCCCAGTTGTTTCAAAAATATCTTTAACAGCTGCTTTGTTCAAGCCAGAATCCAGCCAAGGGCTGCAAATAGGGCCTGGTTGTTATATCTCTTCCTTTGGATGCACTCAAGATGCTGGTCACTTGTACCACCAGATGCCCTGCTTTCTTCATTTGTCTGTCATTTGTTGTAGAGCCATTTACCTAATTTCTCTACCTTTGTATTTCTTGTAACCAATCAGATCTAAAAACTTGGTTAGATGTTGGTTGAGCAGTTATTGACAAGTATACTTCATCATATCAAGAAACACAGGCTATCTAGCTATATATAAATAAAGTTAGGTATAAATGATATTAAGACTGACCCCTAGAGATGAAAACTAATCCCCTGCTTACAAAATCATGTTTAATGTGTACACAATTACTTCAACATACATGAACACCCAGTTGATTTCCAACTGGTAATTTTAATACTAATTAAAAATCCTTGAATCAGTTTCTTCAAGAAAAAAACAGTAAAACTATTTTTGTATTTTTATAATTTTTCTATGTTTACAGTGTTAAATTTATTGACATCTGTCATTCATAAAATAGAATTGGAGGAGGGTAGAATAATTGTCTTTCTCAAATAGACTTCAAAATGAAAAGATACAAAATCTGTTAATTTTTGTGTGAACAGTTTTTTTATTGAGAAAATACCATACAGAGGGGTTACAATTACATGAGCAAGATAATGAGTACATTTCTTATCAAGCATTGTTTCCTTTGTTTCCCCTTCTCGTCCCTTCCCATCTCCCCAGAGAAGGATCTGATAGCCCGCGTATGATCATCTACCCTAGCACCTCTGATAGTTTATAATTTATATAATTTATTTTTGATAATTGTTTCATAAGAAAGGTCAGTAGTGACTTCTGCTTTCCTGTTCCTCTTAAGACTCATTTTGCTGGGCAACAGACCAAGTTTCAGATTCTCAGCTTACATCCAGGACTGAAATACCTTGTCCAGGTCCGCTGCAAGCCAGATCACGGAAACTGGAGTCAGTGGAGTCCGGAGAACTCCATTCAGATACCTAGTGGTAAGTGTCTTGGCCTCTAGTTCTCTTCCTAAATATTTTTATGTGATAAATTTGTGTGTAATGACTACTAACAGCTTTAACCAGAAGAATAAGTAGAAATGGATTTGTCATCTCTTTACTCAACACAAGGGCATCTGGAAATAATGTCCAAGCATTGCTCCCCAGACCACTCACTGTCAGTGAGGATCAGCTTCTAAAATAAGGCTGAAGTCCTGGTCTTGACCTGTCTCTGGGGGGGGTTAATGATGTGTCATCCCACAGTCTCCATTTGTCTCCTCTCTATCATGTAAAGGGTCCAATCATGACAGGTCTGAAAAGTGGTATCCTTTCTCAACAGTGAAGACTTATTAGACTGAAGTCTCTGTGAAGGATTCATGATATCTTAGTCAAGGCACAATATATGAGATGATCTCAGTTCTAACAAGTGATGTAAATATGGTGTCATTGTGCATTACTTTTTTAAGTTAATTTTATTGTCAAGGTAATGTACAGAGGGGTTACAGTTACATAAGTAAGGTAGTGAGTACATTCCTTGTCAAACATGACCCCCTCCTTCATTTTTCTCCTACTTTCTCTTCCCCCCAACTCTTTCCCCTTGTTGTACAGATCTTGTGGGTATCGCTGTTGCATTGGCTCCCTTTTTGTCCTTTGTCTCACCATTTTGTTCTCCCCCTTACCTTCCCTAACTCAGATAATATATATCATACATTGGGTATCAAAATCAAATACAGTGACAACAGGGGATAAACCACAGGAGGAAAACACAAAAGAAACAAGAAATCACATAGTACATTAAAAACAACAACAACGAAAAACCTCTTATGTCCATGTCTTGGAGTTCATTTCTCTCAGCATCATCGTATATGGTCATATGCACATAGCTATTGAGCTATTCTGTTCATCTTCTAGGAATATCCTGGACATATACTAATTATTACAAATGAGGGAAACTATGGTTCCTATGTTTCTTTGGGTCTGGTTTACTGATTTTCTTCCAAGACTTTCCAGCTCCTTACAAATAAGGCAGTGTCATTCTTTCTGGTGGAAAAATAGAATTTCATGGGGGGGGGGGGGCGTGGTGTATCACATTTTCTTGATCCATTCATCTACCAAGGGGCATCTGAGTTGGTTCCAAATCTTAGCTATGGTAAATAATGCTGTGATAAACATCATTGTGCTGGTAACTTTAGTACGGCCTTGTTTGTGATCTTTTGGGTAAATGCCCAGAAGTGGGATTGCTGGGTCATAGGGGAACTTTACCTGTAGTCTTTTGAGGAACCTTCATACTGCTTTTTAGTATAGTACTGTTCCCTTTTGGTCACATTCCCTCAGCCTCTTCAGTAAATAGTGCTGGCAAAATGGTTAAACACCTGTAGAAAAGTAAAGATAGATCCTTATATATCACCTGGCACCAGAATCAATTCCAAATGGACCAAAGACCTCACGGTAAAAGCAGATACCATGAAAACATTACAGGAAGGAATAGGAGAGACTCTAGGGCTCCTTGGCACAGGCCAAAATTTTCTTAATAAAGACTCAGAAACACAACAAATCCAAGAAAGGCTGGACAACAAATCAAAGAAAGGTTGGACAAATGGGATTTGCATTAAACTTCAGAGCTTCTGCAGGGCAAAGAACATAGATACCAAGATCAATAGAAAGTCCACAGATTGGGAGAAGATCTTAACTAGCTATACAACAGACAAGGTACTTCTGACTCAAAAAATTAAATCCTCCAACAACAAGTCCTCAAAGAAACAACATCCCCATTAATAAGTAGGCTAACGACTTAAAGAGAGACTTCTCTGAAGAGGAAATAAGAATGGCCAATAGACACATGAAGAAATGCTCAACTTCTCTGGCCATAAAAGAAATCCAAATCAAAACAACATTGAGATTCCACCTTACCTCAGTTAGAACGGCTATAATCAAGAAATTTAATATCATCTTGCATGTCTAAAGTACTTAACTTTATCACGTCTTTATCTTGCTTCCAACATTCTCAGGTAAAATGTAATTATCACTAGGAACTAACAGTAGGAAAACAAATTTAGTAAAGTTAATAATCTTTACTCTCCAAACTCTAGCTCTTTGGAAGTTATGAGGGCTTTACAAGATTAGCATGTGGGAAAGAACACTGAACTATAAGGGAGAGCATTCCTCTAGTCCCATGTGGGCTCATATTAAAGAAAAGCAAAGGATCTAGAGCTAGAAATCCTGACTTCAAATCCTGATTTTTTTAACTCTGTAAGTGAAAGAACCATGAAAAAAATCACTATTTGAGCCTCCATTTTCTCATCTGTAAAGAAAGGCAATGTTGCTAAGCTAAGCACTGCTGTCTTTCATTGTTATTACTTCAACTGACCATTTGACCTTTGGTTTCTTCTTAAAGATTCAACTGAAACAATATGTGAAAAGATTTTTAAATTAATAGAACGATGTGACATATATAACATATTAAAATATTAAAATATCAGTAAAAATCTAACCTAACATTAATGCTACTCTGGATTGCTCTTCAAGTCAAAAGAGATATGATTAGAGGGAAAAATTCAAGTGTTCAAAAGTTACATGCAAAAAAAGGATGTGATGCATTACATCGGTTGGTTGGTTATAATTGTTTAATGATGCGGTATGTGATCAAAGCTTTCTGGCTATTTGTTTTTTAGACTTCCCCACGGATGATACAACCATGTGGATCTTTGTGGCTGTTCTTTCTGCTGTCGTCTGTTTGATTACGATCTGGGCAATGGCTTTGAAGGGCTCTAGGTACTTCCTTGTCTCTCAGCCCTTCTTTCTATTATTGTCATCAGGGATAATGTCAAAAAAAGATAAACAAATGATGCATGATAATGATAACGAGCCTACAACCTACACATTTAATTTAACCATTAGTTCTAGTATGCTATGTTTATTGAGTTCAAATAAAACAACTTTTATCAGCACTAAGAAAAACAAAAATAGAGAGTGTGGCTTCTCTGACGTAGATAACTCTGTCAAATGGGGACTCTCATAAAACATGTAGAAGTAATTTGAAGATTAAAAATAATGTTTCAAGAATCACAAAGTAAAAAGATAAGTCATTTATATAATCTCACAAATTATTTTACAGCATGGTGACCTGCATCTTTCCACCAGTTCCTGGGCCAAAAATAAAAGGATTTGATACTCGTTTGCTGGAGGTAAGTCCAAGAAGAAGAGAATGTAGTGTGACTAGCTACTTTTAATAAATAATTTGCAAATGCACATACTACTCCCATCAACCCAGTCTGGCTACTTCTAATCTCTCTCCATCTGTGCTTTGTGCTCCGCCTGTGAGTTAATAGAAAGAGTTATCAGGTCTGAGAGTCCTCACCAGCAGACATTAAAAGTTGGAGGGCAAAGAACAAAAGCCACAAGAACACAAAAATTCAAGGCAATGAGTGCTAGATTCACCAGGGATGCTAATGACCACACACATACCCATTCTATACAAATAATCAGTTTCGATCTAGGTGATATTTTCACGAACACAAAACAAGTACTTGCCATGGCCACCTCCATCTTACAGTGCTTACAGCTTCCATTTGACGTACTCTACACAAGAGACCACAGTGACAGAATATGTCATGACCACTCTTGCTCAAATTGAGCAATCAGTTGAGTCTGGATCAGTAGAGTGAGGGCTGGTGTTCATTGGGATGCATTTAGAGGAAAGCAAACGTAAGTGTTTGGAATGAAAAGAGCATTCAGGACATTTTCAATTTCTCTCAGGTTGAAATATATAGTTTCAGTTTGACCTTAATCTTAAGAGTGATGTGTAGAAACATGGTTATCTGTAGATAAATGTCAAGTGACCCAGTGACTGTGAGGCCAATGGATCAAGAACATGAAGTAAGTCCCACAGAATTCTTGTCTACCAGATACACTTTGGTTGGGAATATCTGACCTGAGAGTACAGCTAAAGAACTAGGCTACTTACCCAATGCTGACACCACTTTCCAGTTGAGCAGTGACTTTTTTTTTTTCAAGCTGAGGTCTGAACTCTAGATTGTGAGCTTATGAGTCAACAACACTACTAGCTGAGTTCGTTTCTTTAGTTCATTCCTCAGATAGGGCATTGGATTTTTGCCAAAGATAACCTGGATCATGATCCTCCTATTTATGGCTCCTATGTCATCATGCTCACTTTTGTTATTGTTGTTGCTACTGCTGCTGTTTTAAGATAAAGTCATTGTGCCTAAGCTGGATCCTCCTGATCTTTGCCTCCAAATTAGCTGAAATCATATGACATGCCACAACTCCCTACTTAGCACTGGCCTTTACAGAGTCAACATGAAGATCTCAGTGAACTAAAATACTTTCTAGGGCACAATTCATCTGCTAGTCATAGAGATCGAATGATAATATAGCTACTTGGTTTTAAATTTAATATTTTTGTACACCATCTCTAGTACTCAAAAGGTATTCCCAGAGAGGCATCAACTCTCATCTTAAAAATGGAGACACGGGGATTCAGATAGCAGCTTCCCTAAGATCCTATATACCAGATAAGTAATAAAACCAAGGCTTCACACCACTAGAACCTAAACCAGAAGAAAGAAGAGGGGAAGTAAGAAGAGGAGGCAGGTGGAGTTAAAAGGAGGAGTATGGAGTACTAAAAGGAGAGGGGGAAAGGAATATAAGAGGGAGGAAATATAGATCAGGAAAAAGAGAAAGGAGGAAAAGAAAGATCAAAGAAATTGAAAAGTGGCAGAATAAGAACAAAGAGATAAGAAAAAAGAGATGGGAAGAGGAAAGTGGGAAGACAAGAAGGGAGAGAAGGAGGAAGATCAGTAAAAGAAGAATGAACAAAAGAACCAACTTCCTATTGCCATCTTCTGGAAGGTAGCAGTTGGGAATACCTCAAAGGCCAGCAGCCACATCTCAGAATCATTCTGCCAGTGAATTCCAAGTGTCAGATGTGTACATGAGCACTTTGGTTTACATGTTTTACAACCTTTGTAAACTTGATAGGTGTATGTTTATAAGTCGTATACTGATTGTCCATTAAGCTAATGATTTTTTTTTTTGGATCCGGTCATGGGGCCTGAACTCTGGGCCTGGGCACTGTCCCTCAGCTCAAGGCTAGCTCTCTACCACTTGAGCCACAGTGCCACTTCTGGCTTTTTTCTTATGTGGTGCTGAGGAATCGAACCCAGGGCCTCAGGCATGCAAGGCAAGCGCTCTACCACTGAGCCACCTTCCCAGCCCCTAATGATCTTTTTTTTTTGCTTAGAGAGAGGCTACTTTTTTGCTTAGAGAGAGGCTGGCTTAAAGAAAAGCATTTGAACGTAAGTACCAGAAGGTGATTATAGATGGCCTGATAGGCACCTATATAGCATTCTGGGGAATTCTTGAGGCTGCTCACAAGAGCCTTCAACCCAGCCAAAGGAGATAGAAAGCTCCCATTCCAAGTCTTAAGTAAGACCCAGCATGGCCACAGCCTTAGGAGAGAACCCCTTTAATCTCTGCTCAGGTTGATGAACAGACAACACTTGACTGCGATACCACCTGTGGCATGTGATACAGCTAACACCCACCTCTCCTTGTGTCTTTGTTTTAATAGAAGGGTAAATCTGAAGAACTCTTGAGTGCCTTGGGATGCCATGACTTCCCCCCAACCTCTGACTGTGAGGACTTGCTGGTGGAGTTTTTAGAAGTGGATGACAGCGAGGAACAACAGCTGATGCCAGCCAACTCAAAAGAACACCCAAGCCCAGGCGTAAAACCCACACACCTGGATCCTGACAGTGACTCTGGCCGGGGAAGCTATGACAGCCATTCTCTTCTCTCTGAAAAGTGTGAGGAAACCCAGGCCAGTCCTCACACTTTCCACACTTCCGGGGTCCTAGAGAAGCCAGAAACTCTTGAAGCAAATATTACTTGCCCCCAAGATTTCCAGAGCATACCAGGGGAAGGCAATATCCACTACTTTCATGCTGATGAATCTAAATCTTCAACCTGGCCTTTACCACAACCTGGCCAACACAACCCCAGATCTCCTTACCATAGCATTGCTGACATGTGCAAGCTGGCTGGAGGCCCTGTAGGGCCCATAGCTACTTTACTGGACAAAGCAGGCCAAGATGCTTTAAAGTACTCTAAAACCATGGCAACTGAAGAGGAAGAAGAAAAGACAGTTGAGCAGGAGGTGGAAAGCTTCTTCCATCCCAAGCCAAAGCAGGATACAGTATGGCTGCTTCCTCAGGAGGAGAGCCCCTTGATTTCTGTTAAACCTCTCGATTACGTGGAGATTCATAAGGTCAACAAAGATGGAGAACTAACCTTGCACCCAAAACAGAGAGAGAACAGTGAGCAGACAGAGATGTCTAGGGCTCCTGATTCCAGTAAAGAGTATGCCAAGGTGTCCCGGGTCATAGATAACAACATCCTAGTGTTAATACCAGATCCTCGGGCTCAGAACGTGGCTTTGTTTGAGGAATCCATCAAGGAGAGTCCACCATCGCTTCAACAGAATCAGTCAGAGAAAGACCTGGCCAGCTTCCCTGCGACCTCCAGCAAGTGCAAAAACCAACAAGGCGGGCTGGATTACCTGGACCCTACATGCTTTATGCACTCCTTTCACTGATAGCCTGACAGATGAGAATGATTGGTTGAAATGTGATTTTTTTTCTTTCAGGTAACACTACAACAGTGTCATGAAGGAATGCTGTGTGCTGTGTGGTAGTGAATGGCTCAAGAATGTGGGTAGAATGACACTACGTTTGCTTCTTTTCACTCTCCATGTTCAACCACTTGCCTTTTTCTAACAGCAGTTTCCAAAACACATCACTTTGTCACTGAACTGTGATTTGTCAATTTGGTTTGGGTTTTTGTTATTGATGTTTTTTGGTGTGTTTTTTTTCCTCTTAGTGATAAAGACTTATGTGTTCAATGAAATAAAAGCACATTGCTTAGTATTCCTGAGGGGTGCCACTGGGTATATCCCCTTTAAAAAGCTTTCGTGGTTTGCTAGGAGGTAGGAAGAAATGGAACTGTCAGAAAGACTTAGCACAAGAGATGGTAGATATATGGGAAATGCCATGAAAACCACCTTTGAAAACAAATTGCTTACTTAACCCTTTACACTCCTTTTTCATTTTACAACAGTGACCCAAACAAAATATATTTTTTAAGGAATCCATTCCAGGATACCTACCAAAAATGTCTGCATCAGTCTTTTACTGATCCATTGCTGAAATGCAAATAAAATAATGCCTCTCATTTTGTAAGAGTTAGTTTGAATGCATTAAGCATGAATTTCTCACCCTAAATTTTATTTCCTTCTGATCCCTCTGGCACACATAGTTTTTGGAAAGTAAACTTTTCTTACACAAGAGGCAAATGAATCTCATTTGGTAAATCTTGCTTCCTTTTAGCAGGACCAGTAATTTATTATACACCCGAATGTTTCCTTCACAGAAACAAACAAAAACAATCCCCAAGACTAACTTTAAAAGATAATCATAGCAGGATGCTAATAGAAATGCTGCCTTACTGTACATACAGATTCTACTTTAATACAAACCTGTAAGTTTAGCAATGTATTTTTGAAGACTATTTTTCTATTGCTTAGGTAAAGTAAGACTATTTTCTATTTCCCAGTGCAGCCGTTTACGTATCCAGTGGGCACAGTACTTTCTGCTGTTAAGTTATAATGAGTATTCACAGTGTGTCACAGTTTGTGGAATAAAATACTGTAGTAACCCAAAGCCCACTGAGGAATATGAAATAGGTGACAAAATTCAGATTGCAACACAAGAATGTGCATTATCTGATTCTTCTTCATCTCCAGGATAATTTAAACAACAACAGACCTACCAAGTTAGAGTTTTAGGACTCTCCACAGACCAGAAATGAATTTTCCTGTGAGTTTGGGGCTTCTGCCTATCTATAGGTGAGTCTTTTCTTTAAACATGCTGCGTCAGAGATAGAGATTTGGCTTTGTTTTGTTTTTCTGGGCAGTCTTGGATAGCAAAAGAATTTTAAGCAAAACCAGGGATTAATATCTCTCTGGAGTAGATGTATTTGCAAAACTTTGGCAGAAACAGAACTCACATCAAGAATGTCCAAATGGAAACCAGATAGGACCAGTTTCAAAGGTGGAATATGATTAAAACAATCTGCAAGTCTATGACAAGGACAGGCTCCCCGAGGAGGGTCAAAACCCCCTTGGGTCTCCATTTTAACAGGAGCCTCCATGACTTATCTACTGAACAGAATGCTCCCTCCCTCTACTTTTCATTGCACCTACTGGCAAATTTATTCTTGTCTACTTACGATCTGTACATTCAGAACATGAGTTCATTCATCTCCATGAGTTAAATATTCATCAAATCCATAGTGATAGGAACTGGACCCAGAAGTTCCCTTGTGATTGAAACACATTGTCAGTGTTTTCAGAAATATAAAAATAATATATCAGAAGCTGTATTTCCCCACTATTTAAACATCTTGTGAGAAAGAGAAACATTTGGGAAAACTGCTAAGCTTACTCAGTACTCTAGATCCTCATTAATCAGTGATTGAGGATTAACTATTGGCATCTCCTGGTTGCTACTGGAAACTCTATTACCAGCACCTCAGGGCCTATCCTAGATCTCCAAAATCCATATGTGCATCTTACTAATGTCCCCAGTTAATTCATGTGCATGCCGAAGTTCTAGAAGTATTATTCTTTATACCATTTCCACTAATGGGGATTTTTGTGCTCAAAAATAACCCTGTCTTATGTAGATCAAATCTGTTTCACTTGCAATGAAAGGAGAAAGCAAAATCAAAAACAATAACAACAATAACAAAAACCAACATATTAGTGGTTTAAGATTCATATAATGGTGAATCTTTTGCTCATATGAGACTGACCTGAAAAATACACAAAACCTCCATGAGAACCAGAGAGTATAATATACTAAGGCTTTGACTAAGGAAATTAAACCTCAAAACCAACGTGGACAAAACCTATCCCTACATTAAACAACATTCTCCAGTTTAACTATTGAGATTATTTATATATGTATATACATGTTTATTTATAAAATATGACTGAGAAAATTAACTTGACATATCAACTGCTCTTATTGTTTGAAACTTAAATATCATCTGCTTTTGACATGTTATTATATATATATATATATCTTTTAAAAATATCAATTATCTTTCACTAGTCAAGTTTATAATTTATAATTATTAACATACTTTCTCTGATTTCTGAAGATGTTGAACTAAATAATCCCTAAGTCCTTTATAAATTCTGTCTGCTTGATTCCATGATTCACTGAATAGTTTCCTACAAAAATAATCTGACCCAATGCCTTGTATATTAAATAATTAGTCTTCATTATGGGACTGGAAGGCAATCTTCAGTGATGTGCTCATGATTGTTTAGCAACACCTCCCACTGGTCGTCATATGTCGTACATGATTTTGTTAAGTTCTGAGGATACAGTGCAAATGATATTCTAAGATTATGTGAAAAGAAAGACTTAGATAACAGACACATAAGATAAAACAGAAACATCGAATGAGACACTAATCTTTAGAATAGTGATTGCTTACTGACTTGAAGCCATGTTTATTTCTGCCAAACAGTCCCAGATGCCTTTTTTCTTTTCCATCTTTCATCATAGTTTACAAATAACCATTACACAAATAGCTTGAGTCTTGTGCTCCAGATTATAAAGTCATGCTTTTATAAACAGATACCTAAATATGAAACGTTATGAAGAACAAAACTGGATAGAGTCAATAGATGATTTTGTGGAAGCATATGATTCAAATAGCAAAATGTTCTCTGAGCAATCTTAAATGTCGATAAAATATCTTCATATGAGCACAAGTTACTGGCAACTGTGTCATTGATTTTTTTAGCAGATGTTACATTTTCCTAAGTGCCTATAACCAGTCCTGACACTGAGTTATGGACTAACAACTTGCTGTAGCTGGTCTTTTCTAGAAGGATCAGTCTCTTACTACCCAAATAAAATCAAAACAATGGTGACTCCTTATCCTGTGGTAATCCTACGGACTTGGTGAATCCTGAGTTAATGAGTCACTAGAGGACTTGAGCTCCAATGAGCACTTTGTCCTGGAGGAAAGCCAGTGTATTTATTTATTGTTTGCTGCCTGCTATTACCAATTATTTTCAGAAGGATTTAGCACCTTCGATCTCCTCAGAGTATTCAGTAAACAGGAAAGAACAGATTTATATAGGTTTTACAAAGTGCCTTTCATTTGTTAAAAAAAAAAAAACGGAAATATTTTAGTTTGCAAGATAAGTATATTGGTTAGAAAGTAAAATGTATTTTATATGAAGAAAGCAGGAGTAACCGGAAAGGGAATGACAATGTAATGTAAGGACTAATCAGTGAGCAGTCAGTGGGTTTGTAATGTATTGTTTAACTGAATCATCACAAAGCTGATGTGAATAATGTGAATCCCAGACTTTCTATTCTGAAACATATTGATGCTGTGTAAATAGCACTAAATTTTGTATGCCAGGGCCTAAAAAGTACAATATGTCACATGGAAATTTTGCACACTGATTAAAAACTATTAGTGAATTTGAATTATGATCCCATCTGCTGTTGACACAGATTTGTCAATAATAGGACCTGCCTGTGTGCATCAGTAGACAGACGTGAGGGTTTTTTCTGCCTTTTTAACTCAACATAATTTAGCATTGCTAGGATAGAGACCATGTACTCCACAACCCAGTCTAAGTTACATTACTGCCACTTACCAGGCCAAGTCCTTTAAATGCTGGCCTTTAGTTTCCTCTTTTGTTAAATAAGTGGGTTGGCTGAGAAATATTTCTAAGGATGTATCTTCAGGTTCTGTCTTTATTTCTCATGATTTGGGTAAAATCCAAGAATGCAGGTCACAGACCCAGGCATAGTACAGGAATGACTTAGTCATCTGCTCTAAGCAATGAATGACTGAGATGATGTATTTTTGAAAATATCTCACAGTTAATCAGATCATTTCCACAATTCAGGTGGATTTAACATCCTGGCTTCTCCCCTTCCTAGTTTTATATACTTATATACTTATAGCCTTTTTAACTTCCTTATTCCAAGGCCCATTATTTTTTCACTGAATTAGTTGTACACAGTAGGAACTACAGGATCTATAAGAAGCAAAATTATTCATAAGCAATGACCTTTGTCCTCACAAAGAACTAGTCAAATGTGAAATCATCCATACAAAAATCCAAGCCTAATTTGAGAGTCACATGTATACCCATTTTGAGATTTTCATGCTTAGCGATTTGAGCCTGCTTTGTTATTTAGTTAATATAAAAGTCACAAATAAATGCAGGCTATCTTGATGAATACTTATGGAAAGCCTTAAAGAGAAACTTGAAAATACAAAATAACTTCTCAAGAGCTTATGATCTAAATGGAAATTCTACTTGTAATTATACCTGGATTTTCTATAATTCCTAGATATGCAAATCAAAAGGACACTTGATCTAGAAATTTTCCTTTCAATAAGGGGATTTTGAGTCTGAGACTTTCATGTCTACTACAAGTAAAAGAAAATGTAGAAAAATAGAAAATAGATTGTTTCCAAAATTGGGATATCTCAGGATTCACAAAATGCCGAGTAGTCACTAAACTCAAATTGTATTGAAAATGGTGAATCTGTATTCTTTTTAGCATTCTGACTTTGTAGCTAAGAGATGTACATAATTCACAACACCATAGGCAGCTGTTCACATCAATTCTTCTCAGCTGTGTCTTGATGTCCATTTAAGAAGTATTTGCAACATGTAAAGTTGAAAAACATGTCCTGCTTACATGGTGTGATCAATGAACAGAGAAATTCAACCATAATGTAGTCGTTAATTAACATCTTCCCTGCTGCTATTTTAAAAGAAAAGAAAACTCTAAAGATTTCTTCTGGACCAATAATATCAAAACTGGGCCAGTTTTTTTAAAGGTTATCAAAACTAATCTTTAAGAGTTATGGTTGATGGTATTTCATCTACATTGAGTTTTTTTTTGCACATTTTTCAGATCTGGGATTGGGATCCTTTTATCATGTTATCTGAAATTTAAACACTATATGGGAAAAATACCTCTGGAAAAAATATAATTGGTTTTGTATAATTCCTGGAAAAAATGATTCTGAATTTTTAAAAGACATTATCTCCCTTTGTGTCCTAATGACTTTCCTCCAAAGCTGCCTGTAGTTTAGAAATGGAAGATGTTACATCTCATGATTTAAATGGTTTTGGCGTCAGAGCTGTTGTATTTTTCAAAGGACATACCTGAAGTTAAAATAATCATTATATTATTTTATACATAATGCTTTCTGTGATTCAAGATCATGATATGCTGTACTGATATATTAATATATATATATGTATAATCCTCATGTTATAAAAATCATCCTGTAATACAAATGAAAATCATTTTAATGAGTTGATTTCAATATGATTATGTCTATGTCTATAAAACAAAACATTTTTAAAGTGATCATATATTTCTGTCGAAACTGTGAATGTACTAATTTTTCCTTAATCGTTATCTAGAATTAGTATTGTATGCCACTCTAAGGTCTATCTGAGGTGTTAGGTGTTTGACGTACAATCCAACAGTTGTTTAAGTGTTAACCTTTTAGCTTTGCTTTATGTGACCACAGAGCCTTCCTGAGTGTTCTTTGTGTCATGAGGCTTGCTTTACTGCTTCATCATTCATCTTAAGCCAATTTTAAGAGTCTCATGTGAAAACCAAAGCAATCTAGAACCGGCCGCTGAGTGATTGTGTCTATGTAAAGCCATATCAAAGCAAAGACTCTGTCATAGTCATAGCATAAGATTGTGTATTCTCAAAGCTACCACTACCTCTGCTCTTCCCCTTTCCCAGAAAATGCCAAACAAAATTAGCCAACATATTAGAAGTGATTGTTACAATCAATGGGTGATTGTTTAGTTACATTAGAAAACACCTTCTAATTCACCACTTTTCAGATTTACTATAGGCTTTCTGACAAATCATTTTTACATTTCAATATTTTATAAATTCTGGCAGATAAATTTCAGAAAGACTACATGGTAAGATAACAGATTTAGAAAACAACAATAGAACCATAAAGTGCAGATTCTTTCTTAATTGTGAATCGCCTCAAAGTGATTACCCAAAGCCATGATAATATATGTCATTACACTGATAATACCCAACTCAGTGCCTGGCTCAATAAATGTTGATTTCCCTGTCTATCCTTCCACTATTATTTTCATTTTTAAAAAATGAACAGAATTACAATGTGCATGGCTGAAGCAATTTTCTTGAAGACTTTTGCTGCCAAAAGATGTATCTTCATAAATTTACAATCTGACTTCTCTAAAAACTATTTCCCTTATTGCTTTGAGCCATTAAAATATTACGCTATTATTATGGGAAATATCAGCCATTTATCAAAAATAATCTTGATTTTAAAACTATTTCTATATGTTATTCTTTATAAATGTCTACTTTTTTCTTTGTAACCTTGAACCATTACAGAAAATTACTGTTGTCCAATTGGTTCTCTTCCAGTTCTTCATTCTGTAAATCTTTGGTTATTGTACCTTGTGCTTCCTGTTTCCCATAATATATTTATTTCCTTTCATCTATGGGAAAAATATGGACAGATAAGTCCTTGTCATTGCTCTCAGAGATTATGTATGCTAATTGCTATCACACGACTTCGACTTCATTTTCACTGCATGCCAAAAACAATGCTTGCCAAACAAAACCTTAGACCTCCCAGTATATGGTGGTCATTCTATTTCTATTTTGTATCATTGCAAATACTCAGCTCAGTGCCTGGTTCAATAAATGTTTCTTTCCCTTGCCTATCATCAATCTATTTTCATGGG